ATCAATAGCATAAAAAGTCTATAATATTGCAATATCGAGAGATATAACTAGACTTTTCAAATACAATCACAAAGTTAAATCTTTGTTTTTTGATGTATCAAACATAAATTGGATGATGTCATCAGCTGCATCAAACTGGAAATGGGAGTGTTTTTTTTTATTGTTCGTAGTGTGAAATAATTTTGAAGTTATATTTTGGGTTTAAAATGCATATTGCTGACTTTAGTTAGCAAAGTCTTTAGATTTTTTTTCAAAATCAAAGCTACTCATTACTTTGCGTAGAAATTTTGAAATATTTTTCTGTGAATGTGGATCAAAGAACAATTGGCACAAAATATTGTAAACTAGAATAAAAAGAGCGAGTGTACAAGAAAGAAACATTAAATATTTTGAAATCCCTAATGGGCGTAAATCTAAATTTATATTCGAAGTTAATCACGTTTTCTTCGTTTCTCCAAACAACATGTACTCAGTTTCTGTGAACTTGATTCGTATGTCTCCAGTAACACTTTTACGATCCTCCAAGCCAAGATTATTCGAATACACAAATTGTGAAGTGGAATTCAGCAGCGCTTTGATGATTGGTTTCTTTTGAAGAATCAGAAGCGTCATATTCGCCCTTAGCAAACCCTATGAAGCTTTACAAATTACTTTGAACATTATGGGAGATAGGAACACATCAGATTCGACAAGTGCATGTCGAGCAATGTTTTGGCTGTCGTTGTACCCAGAATTAGAGTGTGCTTTCAAACATTCTCCCAGTCTTAGCAGTTAATTCGACGTAGGCGCGCTCTAACGTTTGGCAGCAGAATTCATAAATTGCACGTGATTGTTGAGAGAGTGGATTTGATCTTTAAAGTCAATATTACTTTTATCAAAAAACCACAAATGCACATTTGAACATTCAAATGTAATTTTAAGGTGATTATATTTACAAGATAGAAAATTGATTCAAGCACCACTAAAAACACAAATTATATACAGCGTTTGAATGCTGTTCAACTCCAAGTTTTGTGAAACAAATTTATCCAAAACATTATTTTTTTTTTCTCTTTACAAAGGATTTTAATAAATAATGATGTTTAAATATATCTTTTCTTTCCAAGATAAATTACTTTAAAAGCGCTTACATTTTGCGAAATAAAAACGTATTAATACCAATGGAGAGTATCGTAAAACTTTTCCTTCCCATAAGAATAACAATAAGTAAATCTGACGAAATAATAAATGCGTGGTTTCAATAAAATGTATTGATGGATTATAGTACAAGAGTGTGTTCTGAGGTAAGAAACGCGTATTGTTATTTATATAACAAATGTCGTGTATTTCCCATGGAAGATTAATAGAGCGCTTAATAAAGATTATAAAAAATACAAGAATAAAACATATCGACAGGCATGTAACTGTATTTTTTCCTAACTCACGCAGGACCCTATTCATTATATCAACATTTTATTCAATCTGTCTATCAAACAATAACTAATACACGGCAAAATATTAAACTACTGTTACTGTACAAAAGCAAGTTTTTGTTGTTGTTGTTTTTGTGGTATGTAAAAAAAAATATATAAAGCATTTTCAGTATTAAGACGTTAAAGCTATAATATTATTTTGATTAAAATAAAAGACTGTTAATTAAAAACAGTCATCTCTTTCTTCTATTATTTGCTTTAAAAAGTTTGTGCAATACTATAGTTGACGTTCATCTCAAGAGATGGAGACCCCAGTTTCTCTAAAAGATCGTGCTTCATCAAACGGAATAAAAAGTTATTATTACGGAAACTAAACTGGAAGTGATCCAAGAAGTAAAATAAAATAATAACAATAATGTAGAATTGGAAAAACGGGCCAAATATATGCCAACATGTGAGATCAATGTTTTTTAAAAATAATTTTTATTTCGGTTAATTCTTTTTATACAAAATCGTATTATGGCTAAATCCCTCATTAAAAAAGTAACGATTTAGGACTATTTATTAATTTCATCCTATAACATGCTCATAACATATAATATAAGAAAGCTTCTTTAGTTAATTGTTTTTTCTTGGAAGAATGACCATTTTTGTGTCCAGTCTAGAAATTCTTCGACGTTTGAACACACGGGCGTCACCTTTCTAGGTAACAGAAATTTACAGTTTAAAAACATACAAGTGAAATTATTAAGTAGGATGTAAAAAATAAAAGTGAATTACAACAGTACGTGAGTTACTGTCGTTGGCTTTGATAACCAAATTGAATCCTAATTATAATGTTCATCAATCGTAGTTTCAATAAATCCTTTAGCAGGAAAGGTTAAACATTTCATGTATTTATGACAACAAATGCTTACGGTGATGTCAGAAACACAAACAAACAAGAGGGAATCCTCAATAGCCTCGGCTGTAATTAGATCTCAAATCGGTCAAGAGATGGCGCTGTGAGCTAAAAAACGAATACTCTCTTTATAGTTACACAGCGTTAACATAAATATATTCACCACATATTACTTATAGTGAAATAAACAGTCACGAAATGCTAACAAAACCCTATAGCCTGTGATATCTCTCCTTGTTTAGTTACATTGTTTTAACAGAATACTTCAATTTAAGTCATACTTAGCGAAAGTACCTAAATTAATATTGATTACTTGCAGTTATTAAGAGCAGTACAAAATCATAACTACCCTAATTTGTTTCACTAATGTTTCAAAAGAACACTAATACATTGTACTTACATTTTGCCAAAAACGACAACGCGTTTCAACAGATCTCTCTCCGTCATAGTTTAATTTTCAGCCTCAAATGACCTCATCTTTTCCAGGATCTGTAGACACTCCTTCTTCATTGACAACATGACTGTGATGTAATATCACCATTTCGAAAATGTCGTGCCATGAGCCATTATGATGTTGTTTCATGAGCCATTAGGATGTTGTGTTATGAACCTAAGGGGAGGAGTTGGCATCAGTTAAGATGTAGAATTGAAAGAAGCGTGATGAACTTTGTAAAAATCTAGAATAGTCGGTAAATTTACTTTTTAGTAAACAGAAATATATTGTATATAGAGAATTGAGAGAAAACAGATTCTTAAAAGAACAATGAGCTATTTTGGTGTATTGTAAAGCATTCTGAAAAGTACTTCAACTAATGTTGACAAATTAATGATAGAAATAGAACTATTACTTAAAGTTTAGATTCACTGTTTGTTTGTTTTTTCGTACAAAAAATGATATTTTGCTGGTGCATGATATTACGGTGGTAATCTACAGTTTTATGAGTCGTATGTAAGGCTGAAAACAATAAAACATTAGAATGTTTCACAACTTTCGGAACAAATTACTGAAGGACTATTAATGTCAAGTTTTTAATAAATAGAATGAAATAATAGAACACTCGTCAAGGTATCAGATGGTCTACAAAGCTCACAAGGGTTCCTTAATAATAAGTCAATAGGATATTTTGTTTGTTCGGTGTGATAATGGAACAGGCCTTCTGCAGTGTACCCCCCAGTGGCACAACGGTATGTCTGCGGACTTGCAATGCTAGAATCCGGGTTTCGATACACATGGTGGGCAGAGCACAGATAGCCCATTGTGTAGCTTTGTGCTTAATTACAAACAAACAAACGTTCTGCAGTGTAATGTCCTTTTTTTTTACTTTCACACTGTTTGTCCACAATATATTATATTATGTTATTTTGTTATACTTTATTGGTATTTATTGCAAATTTGACTGCTTCTTGCACGATATTTTTCTTTTTAAATCCAACAGTTTTCTTAATGGTTTTTTTGTTAAAATAATTGTTTGTATGTAAAATAAAAACGAAATCATAAAGTGACAGCTGAGAAAAATGTTCAGATATCACTATCACCGTAAATGTTGGATATTTCTATGAGATGACATTAGAAGCATCGGGTTATATAAACGTAGAAGATACGCCATCACGTTTTGCTTTATATCCTGTTTGTGATAACATAAATAGACTAGAAAATTATCTCCATTGGCTTTTCGCTGTAGTTTCATAGAAATTCGAATAACTTCTAAGGCACTTTATATAACAATGTATAGGAGTATGAATGGGGAAGGTGTTGAGTTCTACAAGTTCAATAGAAAAATCATTTTAGTCGATTGTTTGTTTGTTTGTTTTTGAATTTCGCGCAAAGCTACACGAAGGCTATCTTCGCTAGCCGTCCCTAATTTAGCAGTGTAAGACTAGAGGGAAGGCAGCTAGTCATCACCACCCACCGCCAACTCTTGGGCTACTGTTTGACCAACGAATAGTGGGATTGACTATAACATTATAACACCGCCAAGACTGAAAGGGCGAGCATGTTTGGTGTGATGGGGATTCGAACCCGCGATCCGCAAATTGCGAGTCGAGCGCCATAACCACCTGGCCATGCCAGGCCTCTGACCTAC